CCCCCCCAACAGTCAGTAAAGAAGTATCCATGTCGTCATTGTGAGCAGTCTTTCAACTCTGCAATCAGTTTGAGAAGACATATTCGCAATGACCATGATGGGAAAAAGAAAAAGATTTACACATGCTGGTAAGATTTTGTATCTTTTGAAAATGAACAAAACACAGCCCCAGAGTGATTATCAAATGTCCCTGTAAATCATTCAAATCCACTTTTTATCTTTTTCTTTTAGGTATTGCACGGATACCAAGACAACATTCACAACAAGTTTGATGTTGAAGAACCACATCAGTCTAATGCATGGAATCAAAAATCCTGATCTTGGCCAAATGCCGAAAACAGCCATCCAGGAATCAAAAAAGGCTTTGCGCAAGGTAGCTATTCAATTGTGTTTATGTATCAAACCAATAACAGCTCTAATGGAGACAAATGTTCATAAAGGGTGTGGCTTCTGTGATTTTCAGGGGCTAGTATCAGATGGACCTGCGGTGGACTCCCGGGAGGAGGGACAGGATCGCACTTTGAGTCCAGAGGCTCCTCCAGCTAAACGTCAGAAAACTCAGTTCCGCTGTTCAAAATGTGGCTTCCTCACAGAAAGCAGTACACAGTTCAAGCAGCATATACCACAGCATAAGACTGATGAAAACACTCCTCAGTGCCTTCACTGTGGTTTGTGTTTCACATCTGTGCTGTCTCTCAACAGACATCTTTTCATTGTGCACAAAGTCAAAGGTCCCAATGAAGGGAAGAAAGAAGGCGAGGAGGACGAGGCGAGGGAGAAGGAGCGGGTTAATCGGCCAGTTAGCTCAGCAGATACTGAGGAGTTCAATGACTTGTTACCGGAGCTAATTGACCCTGAGCCGTCGCAGGCGGGAGAGACAGCGAGTCTGCACTGTGACAAGACCTCGGACTGTAACGTAAAACTGAGCGCTCACTCTCAGACACAAGCAGTCTCTCTGCGTCAGTGAGACCTCTCTGAAGCTGCTTTTAATATCTTCAGTTTAACGTGACAGTAACATGGGTTACTCGATATTCTGCATGGACGTTTTTGAGCCTTTATTTTTCTTTATTTCTCAATTTATTCACAGGCCGTTCGGTATATTTAAGCAGATCCTTAACATTGAATAAAAAGCAGTATTTTCATAAATAATAAGACAAATTCATGTTAAACTTTTGTATTATTTTGTATTTAACTTTGCATGTTGTTAATATATTCATCTTGCCTTTCAGACACAACTGCACACATATTACAGCTGAGGCTTTGTTAATTTCCTCCGAATGTTGCATCCACCCTGAGAGGAGACTCAGGAATGTCTGTTAGTGTTTAGGTTTGGTATCGGTTTAATGTAACATTTGAAGAGGTGGCTTATTGCTTTTGTAATCAATGTTTATTTTAATTGTAATTTTGTCTTAAGTATTTAATGCTAGACACTATCGCCTGAAGGGGATTCAGGTTGCCGTTTTTACGACATGACTGTTTTGCAATTCATTTTGCAGTACAAGGTTAGAAATGTATTTGCCATTTATTACAAAACAGTATATTTCTGTATTCATTTAAAAGCCGTATTTCCACATTTTTGTTCAACAGTCTCTTGTTAAACTATCCTGTGGTTAAATACAGGCGAGATGTTTTGCTAAGCAAGGCCTTCTGATGTTAGCCCACACATAGAACAACTTTGTATTTTCTATTTAAGCATTCTGAAATGCTTTTGTCTTTATGTTTATTGAACATATTTTATTTGTGGCTTCCCAGATCTGGCCTTTGTATTTTATTTAACATTTCAAAATAATGTCTTTCTTTCTTTTTTCTGTATGGGGGGAATATGGAGAGGTATTGGATGTGTGGTGCAGCAGTATTGAAAATACCTCAAATTGCCAGAATTGTATTTTTGTAGGCAAGAGAACAGTCAATGTAATGTCAAATCAGGGTACATGGTTTTGGATAATCCAGAGCAGGTGTGAAAGTGAAGTTTGGCGGCATATCAGAGATAGTGTTTTATATATCAGTACTTGTTTGATCAGATAAAGATTTGGAATCTATTATGACTTCAAAACAGATATTTCTTAGATCAGTGCTTGTGGGAACGTCTTGTTCACATTTCCTGGTTTGTAAAGCAGCACCTCTTGTTTTGTATTGAATACGTGACAGTTCCTACCTCCATGTTGATGGCAGTGATTGTTAAACGATGAAAGACTTTTATCTCAGTGCAATGTAAAAATGTGTTTATAGAATGTGTACTATCCCACATTATTCAATTTTATGAATTACTTTGGGAATGATATCGAAGCTATATGGTCATATTGACTTAACTGGCAAGAGAAGTTTTGTATTTATGTGTTGTGTAAGCTTTTCTTTATTTACCGCACTGCAGCTGTTAAACTGCAGAAACGAAAAGGAATGTCTTTTTCTTTTGTAATGCTTGTTGAAAGATATTTGTACTTTTGATACTTTGTACTGCAAGGACTTGTATAAGAAAGTAAACTGTGCTCACACGGTAGCCAATGAACCTTGGATTCAAAGCATTTCTTAAGCCATTACATCTACTCAGCATGCAGTGGCCTATGTGCCTTTCTGTAACGTTTACTTCAAAGTACTTAAAAAATAAATCGGTGCATTTAATTATACATCTGGTCTGTCTTGGGTATGCGTTGAAGACTTGCTTCTGTGTTTTAAGTATTGGATGCTGCAGAGGAAAGTGTTTATTGGTATTTGAATGTGATCATTGGTGGTTTTGCATTAAGGTCACATATTTTACAATCGTCAGAATGACACATGATTCTCTAATGTGCATCATTCATCCAATAAGAAGCTGACCACAGCTTGATGACTTCATGCCATTAGAATATTAAGCCCATCCTATCTCAGTATAACTGCCTGGCTCCAAAGTAACAGGAGCAAGGAGATTTGAATTTACCCCGCACCAAATTGCAAAGCGCACATTTGAGGAATGACAGTCACTTTGAAAAAGATCTGCAGAGCAGGATTCCTGTCTTCTTTCATTCTTATCTCATACATTGCAATGACATCTTCAATTACTCTTGATTTAACTGAGCTGAGAAATAGAATTTCAAAGGTCAAGGTGGCTCCAAGAGGCAATCTGTGGGCAACAGGTAAGAGAAAACACTTTTGGCATTATTTCATGTTTTGTTTTTGACAGTTTATATTAACATTGAAATTTCTTTTAAGGGCATTTCATGGGCAAGAAAAGTGTTGTAGATAGTTCATTCATGAAGTCTGCGTTAGAAGATGTAAACGTTCCCACTGAAGTCAGAGCTGTTAGTCCTCTGTACCGAGTGGAAGACCTGCAGGCACTGCTCTTTCAGACACTGAAAAGTGACACACAACGGAAAAAGGCTTTGGACATGTAAGTGTTCTTGTTGTCCTTATTTTTTGTATTATTGCATACATTTATCAACTGCAAGACTGATTTTCTTTTTCTTTTTTCATCCAGGTAGAGGAGGAGGGGATCATGCTTGAAGGACACTTCAACCAACATTATCATATAAAATCCTATTGATGAAGAGAATAGTTTTTGAAATCTTGTGTTTTCTTTTTGGTTTGAACATAAATATTAAAAAATGTGATTTGTACATGACAGTTTGATGCCAAGCTGCACTGCTTTGTTCTTAGTTAGTTATTGGAAACAGTGATGTACATGTATTAGTGCCACCAAATAAAAACGACTCAAAACTAGACCATGTTGTTGACATTTTTACTGAAATGCACCTTTGTATTGCAATACTCTGTTTAATTTTATTGAAAATTTGTGTAATAAATGTGGTTATTAAATGTATATTAAACAAAACATTTCTGCTAAAATTGGACAGGAATCCTGTCAGAGAACAGGTGTTGTTTTGTCAATCGTTATTGAATATTCCAATTTCAAGACATAAGCACTTCCAAACAATGTTCATATATAGAAATACTACTGTGGGCATTCTGAACAAAAAACCGAAAAAATAAAGATTATTAACCAACAAAAACAAAACACAAGTGGTCAAATCAGGAACTATGGTACGGTAAAAAATAAACAGATGTTTGACTTCCGCTTGTCATCCGAAAGTATTGCCATTACATCCGGTTGAAATCCATACATGGTTCCCATCGTAGGCTAGGCTAGTTTAGCTGCTAACTCTCAGTAGTGATCATCACAGTCACAATGCCTCTGATAGTGATGTGTGGGTACCCCTGCAGTGGTAAAACACGAAGGGCAGAGGAGCTGAAGGTGTGTTTTGAGCAGAACACGGACAGAAAGGTGCACATTGTAGGTGACGCAGCACTGGGCGTAGAGAAAAACACAGTGTATGCAGGCAAGTTGAGCTCATGTTAGCTCCATTTAGCCATACTTTCTTATTACGTACCTTTTAGTCATGTTTAAAAGTCTTCATACATGTTCACTTTGACTATGCACAAAACAGTCCATATGTTTTCTGAAACGTGTTTTATGTTTCGTCTACTGAGGAGTTTGTGTGTTGTTAACTGAGGGTTTGCCTAGCATTAAGTTAATCTTATTATACAAAAATATCATCACAGTCCTGCGACAGAGGCGCACATACGAGGATGGATATAATCGTTTTTTGTTAATTTACACACTTATGTCCCTTGGACACTTGTGTATAACATTACATTACTGCCACAACTAGTAAGTTGACTGTTAAAATAAAATGTGTCCCTAACAATTTTGATAAATGCATTAGCAAAGAAGTGCTCAGAAAGGTACTGGTTTCCACTTGTTTAAATGTCAGTAAGATAAGCAGCCAGCTTCTTCTTCCCTGTTAGGAAAATAAAATAGTGATGGATAACTTCGAATGTGCACTTTTCTTTTTTATAATGAACAAACAGTTAATTGATTATACCACATATCCATACAAATATGTGTTTGTTGCAAATAGCAAAAATTAGAGCACAAAAAAAAAAAAATCAAGAAAGTAACCTTGGACTTTGTCATACTCCTGCTGCTTTTAAACCTTTTTGAATATGTTGCAGATTCCCAAAAGGAGAAAAATGTCAGAGCATCTCTGAAAGCTGAAGTAGAGAGGTAGGTTTTTCAGATCTATCTTTTGTTTTTTGTCTTTTGTCTGTGAAGTTTTACCATTGCACACCTTTTAATCTTTATCTGCATGTTTAGGAAAGTCAACAAGGGAGACATTGTGATTTTGGATTCCCTAAATTACATAAAAGGTACATCTAGCTAACAGTAGTGTGCTTTACAGATTCAGTATCAAGACATTATGTGTTTATGCTCTTAACTTTATATCCGAAATACCTTACAGGCTACCGCTATGAACTGTTCTGTCTCATCAAACATGCACAGACACCACAATGCCTGGTAAGCATACTAAAGAAATAACTATTATTTTGTTCAAGTATCTATACATCTATGACTGAAACAGTAGTCACACAAATCAAAAATCATATGCTTTCTTTTGATCAAGGTATACTGTTTGACGTCAGATGAAGTGAGCACAACGTGGAATACCAACAGAGATGCTGCTGAGCAGTACACACAGGAAATGTAGGTGAAAAGCCCCAAACATATAGTACTATGCATTTCAGAAAGTAAAACCATTCATTGTTGTTTTAAAATGTTGCCTTACATCTGCTGTTTCTTTTGTAGCTTTGATGCATTAGTGCTGAGATTTGAAGCTCCAGACTCCAGAAACCGATGGGACAGTCCTCTCTTCACCATCCTGAAAGACGACACGATTCCATTTGAAGACATTTCTGACGCACTTTTCAAGAGAAAAGCACCCCCACCAAACCAGTCCACACAGAGTGTAAGAGACACCCATGCTGTTTTCGCTTGTTTTTTTATTTACACATGTTTACAATATTCAATAGATGTCTGTCATGCTCCCTTTTTGACTATGATGCTCATAGACATATTATTTTTCTCTGCAGCAACCATTGTCATCTTCAAACTTCCTGTACGAGCTGGACAAAATCACACAAGAAGTCTTAATGGTACGTATGTATGTGTTCTTTTGATTTCCTGGTCATTTGTTGTTTTTGCTGGTTCCACTCTGTCTTAAGAACTCTATCAAACTTTAGGATCACCAAAGTGGGACTCACACATTGAAAATAAAAATAAGAGACTGTGGAGTTATAGTCAGAAAAAATACTTGGTTAAACTTCAATTTAAGAAGCACAAAAAAGTAGTTCCAAATGTAATTCCCTGCAGTTGGGAAGATTTGTATCAATAAATCAGAATGTAAAGCTGTACTCTTTGCTAATTAATCCTGAAAATGTCAGGTCGGGTACTTGTTTTTCAGCATTTTTAACATTTCTGTTATCACAAGCCGTGGAATAGGGATTAGGAAGAAACCATTACTATTTTCTGAAGCTCATTGATTGACATCAGAATCTCTGAAGACGTGCAATCAGCAGTGTGTCCTCCCACGGTAAACGTGACATCAAGGTTACTTTGTTCTCTTAATTACCTTTGCTCCTGTAATTATCTTCCTATTTATCTCATGGGGTGTGTCTGCAAACTACTGTTAGCCAAATAGAAATAATCTCCTCTGTTCCCTTCATTTTCCATTGAGTACACCCTTTTCACCATTTTGCAACATGCCTGTAAATGAAATGAATTATAAGAACTTTTCATCACTCCATTTAAATATTCTGATCCTTTATTGCTGATCTAAAACTCCCTAAATACCCAACTAGCTGAATTTGTAAAACCCTTACTTTCCGTTTGTAATGTCTGTGATGAAAGTCATTTTGAAATTTCAGGCAATTTGTAACGCACAGAAGACAAGTGTCCCCGGGGACCTCGTTCCAGTTCCAGGAGCTACAGAAAAGATATCCTTTTGATGGACTGCACATTATCTGCCTCCTAAGGAATCACATTTCCTCACCAGCAGGAGGCAAAATACTCCACATTAAATTACTTGTTTGAAGGAGAAGGTGAATCAATGTATGTCCATCAAACAACCTTAAATGAAAGGCACAGCAGGCAATCACTGTTAAAGGTCTCGCTTGTAATAACACACTTTGGGATATGTATTGTGGTGTGGTGTGGGGAGGGGGGGGGCAGGGGGTGAAACCAAATGTCATGTATTAGTGGATGTTTATTGGCAGCTGCTCTGTGTCAGACCTTTTAAAGAAGCAAACACTTTTTTAAATGTGTTGATCAAGGCAGAAAGGAACTTAAAAGTAAATGAGGTGATGCTCTGGTCAACTTGTTTTGACAGGTGCATTATTTGTGTTGACGTCAGTGACATTCAATAGTTTATGTTCTTTCAGTGTTTTCTTCTGAAGCTTTTGGTCAGTTGGTACATTTATATGTCAACTTGTATTTAAATGACCTTGACCTAAAGTTTAACATCGAGCTCACCAGGAGCATCAACATGGCAGAGCTGAGGAAATTACGGCGGCAGTTCATCAGCTACACCAAGATGCACCCGACAGAGAACAGCGGGCACATTTCCAACATGTTTGTGCAGTATTTAAATAAGAGTCTTCACTGACATTGTTATACCATTGGCCTCTTTTTTTATTTTCTGGGACAAATAAATATATTTTATAATATTCTCTGGATGTGATGTTTTGCAATGATTCGGTCGAGTTATATTTATGAGCTTAAGTGCCAAATTGACTCCTTATGCAGTTGTGTAATATTCCAACTAGTTTACATTTGAATCCTTTTTTATTTTTGTAATGAATTCTACAAAAATTAGCTCCTCCTTATATAAGCAAGAGTTTCCCTAATTCCCCTTTTACTCTGCTTGACCTCTTGGTGACAAGCTCAACAAGTATGAATTGGTTTTTTGAAAAAGCTTCTTATTGCTGTCGGATTTGTAGCATACTATAAGTACCACTGAGTAAAGCTCTTGGAAGAAATCCCTCTCAATGATTGTGTATTATTATGTAAGAAGATTGAGGCGGAAAATGATGGGAAAGCTTTTTTCCAATTATTTAAATAATACAAGAGTTCAGTTCAACAACAATATTTACAAAAGTGCAAGATTATAAGATATTGATTTTATTGAAAGAAATGCCATAAAAAATAAACCTTTAAAACAAAGTTTATCTCACATTGCCAAACATGAGGCAACAAGCGCTGTAAAATATATAGTAATTCAAAATATAATAATGATTTTGGTTTGATACAGTTACAGAGTCTTTTTCTCCAAAGCAACAGCGGTGCCAAAGAGTCTGTCCCAGTGGCTGAAGAAAGGAGCGTAGTTGCTGTTCGGCTTCTGGTGGTGCATGTCGTGAGCCGGTGCCCCCCCCAGCAGACCAAAAGGCACGAGGTGGTTGAGACTCCATGGCAGGTCATAGCCTATGTGGTCCTCCACAGACATCCAGATACTGAAAACTGTGACACACCATGCGGTCAATGGGTGGCATTTCAGAATAAGGGGGTCCTGGTTGCTCCAGAGTCCGATTGTCATCAGTTCTGTGGGGCTAAGGTGCTCAGTGGACCATGAGAAAGGCACCATGTATTCATGGTGGACTGAATGAATCCACCTGTAAAGCTGGGGATGCTTGTGATGTACGAAATGCCAAATGTAGTACTGTGTGTCAAAAAGGAGAAGTATTGCCAGTCCGTCAATGAATACCTCATACAGGTTAGGAGCATCCTGGGGCAGTATTGGTGCAGGCAGTATGCACATGGTCATTATTACAGCGGGCAGAACAAAGAATATGTGGTTATAAAGTGCTGTCATTAAGCTCTTGAGCATCATTCTCACTGTTGGCTGCCTGCCTGCTTGGATCTTGTACTGATAGAACAAAGGCACTCTTTCTCCCAAGAGGTCCAGTGCAGCAAAAGGTATGCTGCAGAGGAAATAGCAGGAGGCGGCGAGCAGGACAGGGAAAAATGGAGAAGAGATGAGAGGCAGATGTTGGAAAAGCAAATAATTCCAGAGTGGCTGCAGAACACGGTCGCCCTGATGGGGCTGGAGCAGCTCCTCACTGATGTTCAACATCTCGCTGTGGTACCACTGAAGGCAGCTCAGGCTCAACAGAGTTACTACCATTTTTATAGTTAAGGTCATTGGAAGGGGATCAGTCACTAGAAGATTAACAAAAGCTCTAAACTGTTAAACCGGTACAAAGTGTGACGCATGGAAGGAAGGAGGGCAAATTGTGAAAAAGTGAAATTTGACCCAATAGCTTTGTTTCTAATCTGATTTGCAGAATTGGCTCGTTTGGCTTTACAGATATTTATCAGAATTTTAAAAATGAAATGACCAAACAACTGCTTATTTAAAGTGTTGGTAAACACAGGTAATGGTATGTGTCAACACTAAGGAAAGCTTAGCTTAGCACTTAACTCCTTGATACCTTAAGCTCATACATCATGAAATGGGGAGACACAACTTTAATAACTTAAATCAGCATCTATCTCTTTTCTTGCACTGTCAATCTACTAGAATTGATCTTGTTATCTTTTAAGAAACCTTGTAATCTGGATATTTTGCCTACAGGCATTTATTTAGTACTTATTATGTTAATCTGATTATAATATGTTAAACATAAATAACACAGTTAAACCTTGAACATGTTCCTGATTTGAATACAAAATCACAAGTCCATGCAGACGAAAAACCAAGAACACTTCTCACAACCACACTGAATGATCATCAACATGATTTATTGGGGACAATTCGCAACCATTTCATTGAAATCATGCATGTTTTAATGTATTTTAACAAATCAATGCAGAAATGCTCTTCTTCACAACTACTTCTTCACACTGACAGCTTTCCTGGAAATCGTTTTGTTGGTGTTGGCATATTTATGTCGATCATTTCTGAAAAGAAGAAAAAAGTCAAAATTAAACCACTGAAATAAACACTCTTTTTGAACAGTTAAAACTACTGCTACCGTTGTGTTTTAATAATAACAATATTGAGAAATGTGGACCTTAGTGTTGTTAGATACATTTACCTGCTCATTTGAACTTTGCTTCTGCAGCCCAGTCCCCCCTCCCAGTGGCTGGTGCGTGTGCCTCTCGTCATCATGCTTCCACAGCTGCTGCACGGCTTTCCATTGCCGTACGGCTACAACAGACAAATGATGTCAAATGAAATGAAATTCAGAGCCTTATGCATTCATGTTTTCAGACACTGACTGTTATTCTCCTTTCTAGTGATGCCTTGAAGGTTGGTGACCTAGGATATTAGACTGGGCTGTTTTCTTGTCAGCGAACTGAGTCTAGCAGTATAAACTATTTCAGCAATTTCCCTCTGCAAAAATAAAGTCTTAGTATCTCAGTGGTTACAGGTCACCTGTTCTTTGGCACAGTAGCCACAGATCATTCTGGTGGCTAGTTCCATAGGGTGGTCCTGGTCCTCATTATGGCAACCATCACAGGGGTAAGCCCGTCCGCAGCATGGAAACCTGAGTGCACAGTCAGGGGCACAAAGCTTTCAACATACTATGCATTTTCTTTTAGAGCTTTGATGTGAAATGAGATGGGACACAGTTAGGATGATACCTTAGCCAGCGATGGCTCTGTTTGTAATGTTTGCATGATCCTTTTTCTGGCAGCGGCTTCCCTTTCTGCACAGCAGGATCTCTTATCGTCTTATTATAAACAGGACCTGAACTCGAACCTACACAAAGGGAATAAATAAACATATTTTCATTGGTGGTCTGCAGGTATACGTTATTACATATGTATAAAGCTCCGATTTAAAGGTTTGTCGTTATCTAGCATAACATTACGAAATATTTGAAAGAGAGCCAACAGCTGATCCCTTTAGTAGTACAGTGGAGCGCTGACCTGTTTTGTTGGTGCGTGGCTGGATATACTGGAATCTTGTGCTCTCTGCCAGAATACTGAGTTTACTTTGGCAGTGTTCACAATTGGACTCCTTTGTTTGACCATAGCATACATTCTGAAGGAATGGAAAAACAAAAAAGCCATTTTAGAGAAGTCATAGCTTATCAAGACCTTTTTCAAAAATGGTGCTTGTATGTTCCATCACCTGCACGGGGCTCTCCTGGGAGCAGCTGAGGCATCCCACTATGAGATCACAGTCCTGTAGCACAAGGTCAACAGGCGCAGCATTGTGGAGGTCCAGGTACCCCAGGACATCGCTGTAATGGTGCAGCATGCAGGGCCTGAATGCAGCATTGATGCTAGCACTGCACTTTTCACACTGAGCCGTGCAGGGGTTCCTTCCAGTCAGGGTCAGGTCTGCAGTTACCTTACACCTGCAGACAGCACACAAACAGTCAAGATTTCAAGATTCAATTCAATTCAACAGTGTAGATGTCAATGACAACCTTAGGTCACAGGCTCATCCAACGGTGCAACGTAATAAAAACAGACAAAATAGTGAAAATAGTGCAAGTAATACAAATAAAATAGAATACAAATAGTGCAAGGAGAGTCTAAGTAATTTGAATATTATATATTAGATACATATAATTTGTAAGTTGCAGACGGATGAATGTGAACTTTCAAAAGTTCAGGTGTTTAACAGTTTTCAGCTATCAATTGTGTGTTATTCTCATTAAAACGTTTGTAGCTCTTTGTTCTTGCCTGTTACATTGAAGACAAACAGTGATTTGATGGGCCACTACGGTGGCTGTGTTCTCGCCCAGCATCAGTCCCAGCAGCTTCACCTCGGTGCCTCTGCGGGGATCACTGATCTTAATGTTCTCCACCAGGCGCCCGGCTTCCTCTTCCTCCTGCTGCTGCCCTCTATCACAACCTGAGCCATCCTGCTGACCCATTATTCCTCCCTCCTCAGTTTTCTCCCCCTCTGTGTATTCCAGCTTTCCTTCATCACTGTCATCCTCATCTGCAGCAGCGGTGTCAGATGAATCGTTCCCAGATCTTTCACACACTGTTGCCTGGAGCTCCTGGTACGATATGAACTGCAATCCAGCTTTTTCTAAATCAACGTCTTTCTTCAACTGCCAAAACATTGAAGAAAATGCATTACATGAAGGAAATAGTTATCTACAGGTTCTTTGGGTACATTTAAAAGGGAAAACACAAAATGTCCAATCTCCCGTTAGTCTCACCTGCCGGGCTCCCTCAGTGAACAATCTCTCCAAACTACGATCCAGCCAACGAAGAAAAGGCCGGAAGAGCAGTTCTACCTTTCCCATCAGCTGGTTGGTTGCATGCTTAGCTTGAAGCCACTGCAGTGATGCTTGCTGTACATGCCTATGTAGACAGGGATGTGGGTACATGTCAACACCAATCACTCTGTATGTTAAATATTTAAACAAACTGTACTTGCTGTACCTTGACATGATTAGGGGCAGCTCTTGATCCAACGGTATGTCCAATGTGAAAATCTAAAAGAATGGATCAAAGTGATGAGGAAGTGTTCTTTTCATGTCAACCATTTACAGTATAGTGTACACAGTATTACAAAGTCTGTAAAAGTAAGCAGTGGTCCTTACCTCCTGGGGGTAACTTTCCGGGAAGCTGACCATGATGTCGACTGCTTTCAGATCAAAAGGCTATAAGTTAAACAAAGAGTTAATACAATAAAGAATAATGTTTTTCCATTTCTTTCATTTATGTATTTCATGTTTAACGTTTTATGGTTGTCAGTGGCTAAGAAACACCATAAGATAATTGTGGAAAAGCAAATATATCTTTCTAAATTATTTATTTTGAAATTAGTCCAAATAGTTTAATCAGAGATTAACTGAATAGGCTTAATTCAATCTCATTTGTGTAGTTCAATTGATATAAATCACAAGCCGTTCAGTACGTATTACAAATCACACTTGCTAAGTAAAGTTGCCAATGGTGATGTCACAGTATAACAGGAATGGTTCTTGATTTGGTGTTAGGATTTAGAACTGTTTTTCTAAATACATTCTCCCTCACAAGACGTTTTGTTCAACTAATTAAAACTGAGCTGTACTGTATTATAGAAGTAAAGTGCAGGTGGGGTTTTTGCTCTAAGCTTTCAGGGGAGAGAGGAGAAAGTAGGTGAAGGAGAAAGCTTACCCAGTCTGGATCAGTGGCCTCTACAGTCGCTCTGTAATAGGTAAGCATGCCATCACTTCGTTCCTGAATAATCAGCTGTTCTTTGGGAAACCGCTTCTTTAACTGATTGATCTCTGTGTCTCGTAGCTGCTTGGTCACATCCTCTGTAAGGTCACACAGCTTGACCTCCTGGAGAATGCCTGGACGGGGTACGGGTGGCATCCTCTGCGCAGGTCTTGGGTAATTACCAGAAACAGTCTGGTCATCCTCTTGAGGAAACTGTGGAGGATGCCAGAAGCGACACCTGTCTTCCATGCTGCAGTGGCCTGAGATAAAGTAGCGACAGGGACGGCGGACAGAGGCCGGACCAACCCTGGAGTTACTATTCTGAGCAGGCCTCTTCCCCAAATGTCCTCCAGGGACGTCTGAGTTTAGAAAGGTGACATCTGACTGACTGGGTGTCCTGATGGTTTTCTTCTCATGAGCTTTGACATCATCTCTTATATGTTGGAATCTGCATTTCTTCCCATAATTGCATTGTCTTCCTTGAGAAAAGAAGCGACAGATCGGCTGTGTATTAAGCGCAGGCGCTGAATCACCCAAATCTTCCTCACCGTTCTCCTTCATTGTTATCACCTGTGAATAGCATAAACACAGATTATCCTCTACTTCTTTACATGTAAACACTATATATAAATGCATATGGATTTGGAGTCACTCGGTCTTAATATCATGGAAGTAATAGGAAAGAATGTGAAACTTTCCAAAGAAAATCTGTGAATTTTCCTTAAAATATTAGAAGCTACTTGCAGAATCCTTATAGCAATAAAATCCAAGAAAAAGAGCCATGTTGTACTTGTATATATGCAATACATATATATATATATATTTAAAATCAAGACACATTTGTCCAGTGTAGTTATACAATGTATCTATCATCACTAATCAAAATGAGGTGTGCCATAAGACGTTATACTTTTTTAAGCATCATTTTCACTAATATGGGAAAGTAATCATGGAGGTATTTAAGATAACATTAAAGTGTAATTCAAACAGTAATTTATTGAGAATCTCTAAGGGAATTATGTATAATATGTATAAATCTAGAATCGCCGATACGTTTTAGATTGGGTTCGGAGCCTACTCTCATAACAACATAGGCATTCTCCTTTATTGTTTAAAATAGCTTAGCTAGCTAAGTTAAAATTACTTTAAATACACAAGAGGATCTGCTCTTACGTTTATTCAGTGAAATAATAAGACCAAGGGTTAAAGAAATACCGTTTTAAAGTCGCCTTACCTGCTAACTGTCAGGTTATTGCACTTTCAAATGATACAGGAAGTTGTATACGTAATTACGTCATGGATGTGTAAAGAGAAAGTGCGACAGAAATGACTCCGAATCGATTGGGGAAACAATTTTCTGCTCGTTTATATATTATATAGAAAAGTATATGTAATGAGTATGAGAGATATGTTTACAAGCTCCCCGGAAAGGTCCTTAAAAGCGCATATACATTTGTTTTGTCGCCCTCTACTGTTTGGGAATGTAAAATTAAGTGGGTGAATTTTGAAGAGGGTTAAAGTTCATTCTTGACTAGACTTTAGACTAAAACAACTATATTATTCCTTCAAGGGGGAATTTGTAGTAGGCCTACAGCATATTAAACAATATGACAAATTGTAGAAACAAACAGACAGAATTACAAAGCAGAGACAACAGCATATAGCCAGTCATGAACATCCATCAATATATATTGTATTTGGCAAATCTTTGAGATAACATGACATAATAAGATGTATCCAGGCAGAGTCCGGTTCGCTGTCAGCCTGGTCAGGTAGACCGGTGGCACAGATCAGACTGCCACAATGATCTTCCTACAGGTCTTGACAATTGTTCCTTTGGATCTATTTAGCTGTTCTGGATCATCTTGCATGATCTTTATAGGAAATAGATTAACTTGCAGAGCACAAACCGACTTAAAACATATGTTGGTTTAAAGGCTGAGGTTCAAAGTTCATTCTTGTGGAACACAATTACACCATAACATAGCTGTTCTAAGACATGTCTTTAAGCCGATTTATAGGTCGTTTCATAACATGTATCTCCTATTTTTCATACATTGATATTAATATGTTTTTACATTTGACATTAAATATTGTCCAGATTGCATACTTGGTTTGCATAAAATAGTTTTGCTGGTAAAATATGTAGTGCAATACATAGTACTTTTAACTGGACCAAACAAATAGGAACTATAATATACATTCTATAAATTTTGATGCTTATTTTGTGCAATGTTATTATTCTGTGGTGATATTCAAAGTGTGATTTTTGTGTCTCTTTTCTGACCTTTCCTTTGTTTGTTCCAACTGTGATCATTCCAGTGTGTATTTGTGTAAAGGAAAAATAAACTCCACTTGAGCAGAGATTTGGCACTAAGAAAGATACAATTGGATTTTAATAATACTCCCCTTACTGAAAAATGTATAATGTGGGGAGCTATACGTTACCAGTCACCCATGGAGTATGAATAGTTTGTTGAAATGTTGCACCCGGTTGTCACTTGATAGCAGAGAGTCAAGCAGACACCGATGGGACAAAGTCTTCACCCATTGTCGCTGTTTCTGTCTGGAACATCGACATTCCTCAGACATTTTAATATTCACTTAGTGGATGTTGCAGTAACCAGCGTAGATCTTTGGATGAGATGCCTAGGAAACTACTCTTTGCTTGTTTGTGACATCATGGGAGAAAGATGGGCCTGGGTCCAGCAATTGAAGATCCAACCTAGCCGTCGTCCTACAGCCATCTTTCTCCCATGATCCCACTGCTGCACTGTGCAGGGGGTCACCTTGTACAACCATGTGTTTCTTGTGCTCCCAGCATCAGTGGCCCAGTGGACATGGAGGCCCCCTGTTGATCTGTCAGAACAGGCTCCCTCCCTGCTGGAGCTAATTGCTGGGTTGATAAGCAACCTCCTCCTCACTTCCAATACTTTATCTGACAACTGCTCCATCACAGGATCCACTGGCTGTATGCAACTTTCCATGCTATCCATCATGAATACTCATCTCCCTTTGCTTTAGCCACTCAGTGCCTGGGTGGCTGGGAGCTGGTCACAGTGGGCTTTTGGACCACTCTCCTGAGAAACCGCATGCTCACTACATGGGTCTTCATGGTTGTGCATGTCTACGTTTCGATTGAGGATCACTGTGGCTATGATTTCCCTTGGTCCACATCCCACCTTATCCCGCCTTATACCATTTACGGCATTTATGGAGTACCCAGCTAACATGATGTCACTTTAGTCACTGGGATAGGATATTTGGTACGCATGCTGATTTCAGCTTCTCTACTGCTATAAAGTAAACTGCTTTACTATTGGTAGCAGCTAGTGATAAGCTTGTATATGTCTGTTTGTTTTTTCCAAACCATGTGGATGGTCAAATGTGAAGAATTGAGACTTTAAAATAAATCTACATTTTTACCTTGCAATGAAAAGGAGTCGTGTCACTGTATTGTATTTAGAAAAATCTTTACATAATCATTTTAACTATGTGCACAATATAGTGTCCAAACAGTATGAACCTTCGTCTCATTTGTTTTACTTTCCTAAACCAGTTAACAGAAAAACGACTGCAATGTTTGTTTGTTTTTGGCAAAAGGGGCAGTATCTTTAGACTATTTCAATTGTTTTAATTGTTCTTAAATCCGGTGGGGCTATTGATATTCAAGTTGTATATGTATATTTGTAAGTTATATTTATCAATGATTTATTCAAGCTTTATGTAAATTGAAACAATACCAGCATACAGTCATGATATTTAGTGAATAACTTTTTTCCTTTTTTAACTATAAATCACCGCTGACACGCAAATCACATTTATTTTCGAATTCATGTAATCAGACCAGTGATCTCTTAGTGGTGATACTGATGATACAGTATACTTAAAATGTTTTATGTATAAGGGAAAGCAGGTGCAAATGGCACTATATTTTTCCACCACTAGATGTCAGAAGTGCTGGAAGTTCTCCAATTGCCAGTTCAAAGGGTTAGATCATTTTTACTTTAATAGTTCTCAATAGTATTATATCAATTATGGCTATAAGTTGACAAGACGAAACTACTGTAATTGGTTTTCCCCCTATATTTATTCTAGAACATTTTTAAACATTATACATTTTGTATACAAATAATACATGTATATAATAAACAAATACAAACAAAAAAGACATACATTTTCATAATTAAATTTTTATATTTGTTAAATACACAATTCGTTTTGATTACCTTTTTATTCAAAAGGTTTTTAATAGTGCTAAGATTGTTTTAATTCTTGGTCAAATTGTTCAAAATTTGGTTTGGAGTCAGCTAATTTCTTTTTATGAACAAGACATTTCCCCAAATTGCTTTTGTGTTTGTATTGTTGGCACCATAGATTGTATAATGGCACTCATGGATGTATAAAGAGAGCGGTGGCACTGCCTGCGTCTCCGCGCCGGCGCAGGCCGATCCAGTGATACAGTGCTGGAATGAGCGGTGCAGCTGCCCGGGACATGTCAGAGTAGAAACCTGCAGTCAGACTCATTTCCAACACGTACTGCTTTCAACCCCTATGCTGAAGATGGGACAGTGCGGCATTACCTCGTCAAAGACCGTCCTGGTCTTTCTCAACCTGATATTTTGGGTGAGTTTGGAGGTTTAATGACGTGGAGGTTTTTTAAACGTGCGTCACTCGCTAGTTGTGTGCGGCAATGCTAGCTGTTTGTAGCTATGGTAGCATATGTGTGAGTGAAGTCAGCTGTTGGGCTAGCTGAGGCAGCACACCTTTGTTTATCCAAGGAGGGATTAGTTTGAGGAAGTTATGGGAAAGACTTACGATTTTCAAGATTTAATGATTTAAGTCGATGTTAATTGGAGCACCTTTCACTACGTTTTACAGTTAGTAAATGTAATGTTTGTGCTTAATACAAATTTGTAAAAGTGCTCCAGGCTACTCTATATAGGATACTTATTCAACTCCTCTACATTTTGGATGCAATAATGTAGGCTACTATGTTTATTTGAAATGTTTAGTTACTAGTTTTATTTATTGTGTTTATTTCTTTTGTCTTCTCTCTTAACTATTGTACCTTAATGTTGATGTAAAGCACTTTGAATTGCCTCTGTCTGAAAATGTGCTATATAAATAAACTTACCTTACCATAGTAACATATTTCAATTATGAATACAACATAATATATAGATGTTGCAGCATTTTGAAGTGGAACTCATTTTAAATCAATTCTAGAAAAATCACATGCAAATGTTTTGCATAAAGTGGAAATATTCAAGTACCTAAAGTTTGTACTCGGGTAGAATTGTGTTCTAGGTCACTTTCCACCACTGAGGATAAGTGTTATGTCTGTAATGATAAAGGCCTATGGTATGCTGCTGAATGTTAGATTCTGACAAACAAACAATATACATTCAGAAACCAATCACTTAATGAAATGTTGATGTTTATTTCACCCTCAGGCTGCCGCTGGTATCCTGTGCTATGTTGGAGCCTATGTTTTCGTTACTTTTGATGACTACGATCACTTCTTTGAAGATGTGTACACCCTCATCCCAGCAGTGACCATTATAGCAGTTGGAGCCCTCCTTTTCATTATTGGGCTGATTGGATGCTACGCTACAGTGAGAGAGAGCTACTGTGGTCTTACAACGGTTAGTTAATTAGTTTATAGGTTTAGCATGGTAGATTGGGATACTAAAGCATTTAAGTATTGATGAGTAATCAAAGATAAACTTTGAAACATAATGAAGAGAAGAGTGGGGCTTAAGGATGCATTAAAACAAGGCATAAACATGTAAAACCTGATAATTGCTTTGTGTTATTTTACATAGAGTAAGTCGTTAGTGGTTGTATTCTGTATAACTTGAACATGCCAAAGGATATGACAACCCTATTTTTACTTGTATGCATGTAAAGTAAGTGTCTGTTGTCTCACATTTTGAAATTCAATCCACAGTTTGTTGTCATTCTCATGCTGGTTTTCTTGACGGAAGTGGCAGTGGTGGTTCTCGGATATGTTTACAGAGCAAAGGTGAGAAAGTAAAAAAACAAGACGGCACATGTTTGTTTTTCTTGGCTTTATTTGAAGCATAACCTGTAACCCCGTAAGTCTTCCAGCTAAATGGACTGCATTTATATCAAATAGTCCACCTATTAGGGAAGGAAAAACTGTAGAATTACAATCATGTTCGTATGTGAGATGTGTCATCAAATGTCTCACCCTTCTTAACCATTGGCAGGTTGAACATGAAGTTAATGTTTCTATCAAGAAAGTGTACGATGAGTACAATGGCACCAACAGCAATGCCCAGAGCCGTGCCATCGACTACATTCAGAGACAGGTGAGTCGGATATAATGATACTATTGTTTAATTCTTTTAGTCTTATCCTGAGTAAGCAAGTATTTGACAGTAATTTTTCCATTGTTTGTGCATTTTTACAGCTTCAGTGTTGTGGCATCCACAATTACTCAGACTGGCAGAATACACAGTGGTATAAAGAATCCAAAAACAACAGCGTACCCATCAGCTGTTGCAAAAATAACGTTGTAAGCTGCACGGGGTCCCTCACTCGCCATGCAGATCTCTACCAAGAAGTAAAACAACCTTTACATGTCACGTTTTTCTTATACCAAACACTTCTTACTTTAAAGAGGATTCTGTTGCTATAGTTTTGTATATTTGAACTTATTCTGTGTGTGTAGGGATGTGAAGCTCTGGTTGTGAAAAAGATGGAGGAGATCATGATGTATGTCATCTGGGCTGCCCTGACATTTGCTACCATCCAGGTATGTCCCTTTTTATACAACTTCGCCAGCTCTCTGTAGAATCTGTATTTTTATTTACTGGACCTTTGCCATATTGATTTAAATCTATTGGTTCTTGACTAACAGGCTCTGCGTTTTAAGTAGTGAAATCATTTGATTAATGTCAGCAGCATTATCATTGTGTTTTTAAAACAAAGGTACTTTCAGTATGATTAACAAAAAAAACACATTAACAATTCTACTTGCCTGAGAAGATCAATATTACCCTCAAGGTTGTCTGAATAATATAAGGCTACAGCCAACCGCCTAAAATTAGCTTAGCATAAAGCTTATGTCTTTCTAGTTTTTTTGTCCAAACTAAGCTAACAGTCTCCTGACTCCATCTACATATTTACCATTCAACCATGAGTGGAATTGGTCTATCTCTCAGCAGGAAAGCAAGGAGTTTATTTCCCAAAATGTTTGACCGTTTTTTATTCCGCTCCTTTTCTTTTTTCCGTCTCACTATTGGTGTTTTTATATTATTGATTCCAAACAAAATAGCTTGAGTAACACAACTACAGTGAGACTCCACGAGGCCCTAATATTTCTGAAGCGTTGTAACTGATCAGCAAAAAAGAAGATTTGTAAACCCCTACTAAGTTGTCTTTCTCTTACTTCTAGATGCTGGGGATGTTGTGTGCCTGTGTCGTGCTGTGCCGCAGAAGCAGAGATCCTGCGTATGAGCTTCTTATTACTGGGGGCACCTATGCATGAAGGAAAACACATTTCTCTCCATAACAATCACTTTCAGAATAAACATGTGTCTTTGGTGACAGCATACAAACAATCTATTACAAAACTAACCCTAATCACCAACCACACTTAGGTTACATATTTTACCTGTTTTTCCCAAAAAAGCTATAGATCAAATTCTTTAATGGTCACTGTAAATGAGATGTAGAAAGCATTCTGTTGCTCTGAGGATGGCACAAGGGCATGACACCTTTTATTGTATACAATGTATGGAGTAAAATGTGGACAGGGTCATTTCCTCATGTTAGTTTGCACTATGTGTATGGCTTACAATATTTTATATTTCAACCTATCCTGTACTTCAATGACATTTGAATTAAATACGTTTACCTCCACGATTACTACTGCTACTACCGTTCTAAGTCTACTACTATAACTATTATAGCTCAGTTTAGTTGAAACCTCAACTTTTACCAGCAGTTTACTGTCAAGAAAAAATCACCTCAACAGCCCAAGTCAGTCGCAAATGTGTGCATGCAGCTTTATGGGTTTTTCCCCCCATCAACATTTGGGATTTTTAGTAATGTCTTCTTAACTCAAGCTGAACTTTGTCCTACAGCTGTTGTTTTTTTTTCTCCACAGTCCACTGAAGGTAGTTTTGGAATTTTGATTTGCTGTTCTGTAACAATAGCGAGACTCAAGACTGTAAATAAAATGTTGGAAAAGTTTGAAATGTAGATGTGCATTTACTGATTTAATGTTTGGATTTCTAAGACATACATTCAAATATTTACAAAGATCTGAAATTGCTCCACCAAATAGTTTAATTCTTTCTGTCAAGACAAAGCTCACATTCACTGGCTGCTGTCATTGGAAGAACTCAACTTGGTCCCAGAGAAGAGAGGTCAAAGTTCAGGGGTTTCCCTTATTTATTGAGGTTTTGGTCAGAGTTAAATCTTTTATGTTTTGTAACTATATGTCTTCAAAAATGAGGTTCTAGGTTACAAGGGGCTCAAAATATAATGCATGCATATTATATATAAGCTTAAATCACTAAATGAAGTTGTATCTCCTTTCGGAACATCTGGTTACCACCAAAAAAACATTGCTGACCTTCATATTAATAGACTCGTCTTTGTTTTATTGATAGACACTGTTTGCAATGTATCAGCCTTACCAGAGTAACCAGATACGTTAAAACCAAATAGAGCTGATAACTCAGCCACCTGATCTAACAATAGTGCCTCGTTACATTCAGCTGTTTTATATGGATGGTTTTGGTCTAATGCTTTTCTAATCCAAATTAAACTTATCTTAAAAAATAAAGCAATAATGCAAAATAGTTCTTATTCAGCTCAGCCTAAAATCAATGTTAACCATGTGTAAAAAATAAATGTGTCTTTCATATTTAATAAATACAAAGGAAATCCCATTTTCAGAAAATTATTTTCTTTAACATTTAGAATAGAAAAATAACCACACAGGAAATATATACATGCCAACAAGAGAAATCTAACATTCTGCTTAATATTTAAGAATGACGAAAATACCACAGTATATTAATAAACAAGTGCAGTGACCTTGTGCAATAGATCACTTCATCTCCAGCTGTCCTTGGTATGACGGGCTCTCAACAGACCAGCAGTAAGGGCAAAGTAATATGAATATATGCCATAGTAATAAATAATTCATCTTTCAACACTGTCCCATGCTACTTTGGGACATTTCCTTTCTGTAAGATTGTTATGCCACAGCTCAAATGATCTAAAGGCATAGGGTTCATGAGAACAACAAAACTAGCACTGTCGAAACTGCTACAGTCAACCGTTCATTCGCGTGCTATCATTGTCACTCTCTGCCACAGTGTATTTTATCATTCTTCCAGGGGTGCTATACTTGGACATTTAAAAAATCCTACTCATATAGGCTTTAATTTGAAAACCCTGAGAGGCAAGTAAAAATAAAAAAAATATTTTGCAGGTGAACAGTGGACCTATCATGCTATATTTGAATAATATAGTGTAGGACCATACCTATTAAGGCATATTTATACTTTTTATTTTTCAAAATACCAAACAGCATTTTAGCCATTCCTCATTTCACTCAATTTAACACTGTCTTTACATGGGCTGATTCTGTGAGAACAGCACCATCTACAGGCCTGGCATATGTAATACAGCGTCTCCAGCGCTTTCGAACGGCAATGTCCGTGGCTGTCTCCTCCTGATTGGTGGAGTTGGCCCAATAGCCGTAGCGCCACTTCTGTGACGTTCAAATCTGGATCAGTCTGTATCAGATCCTTTGTAGCCCCTTTTTAAGAGATTTGGGTATGGAGGAAAATAGAGAGGGTTGTGTTTTCTGACACTTGGTGAGTTCCCTGGAACACCGCGGACACATATTCATTTATAAAAAACGTACAAAAGTGCATTTTGCATGATAGGTCATCTTTAAACTAACTTTTTTTAATACTGATTCTGACCACAATAGGCTGAAGTGCACCACTCATAATTCAAAGCATCTGATTTGAGAAGATTAAAGTACATGTCCAGCCAAGAAACACATGATGGTACTTAACTTGCTAAAACACAATATATTCAACATGTATTTTGACATCTGTTTCCCAGAATAACTTTTTTTTACAACATAAAAAGATTACCATTCCAATACAAATATTTTCTAGTTCTTAAGTCATAAACACAGGGGAGAAAGGTTTTTGAGATAAGACTTAGCAAATGAATCGCCATTTACTTTTGCTCACCAGCCTCTCAGGGCTTCCGCATTTAAATGATGCTTGCAAAACAAACAACAACAGATAAGATCAAACTATGACGTTATTTGAAAAGACAAGGCCTTTACAATATATAACATGAGGACATTTAAAAGTCTTAAAATCCTCCATGGAGCTTCAGGTTAACTTATTCTTTAGCAAGATATGTGCCTGGGACCAATCCAGTAACCTCATTCCTTTTCACTGTCCACCAGCCATCTTCACCTTGATCCATTACCACCACCACGTCGCCGACAGACACAGAGAGCTCACCGCCCCCCTGAACAAACACACACACATTCAATCAAAAATATATCCCTTAAATTAAACAAGAATCATTACATTTGAATTTGTCTCATGTAGAAGCTGACCTGCGCCTCATAGTCGTACACGACCTTGAACCCCTCACTGCTCGGCTGGGGCACCTGACTTCCGGAAATGGAGGCGTATACTCCATCAGATGTTTCTGCTGAGGAGTTTAACAAGATTTAAGACCTAATCAGCACCAGTTTACTTACTGTGAATAACAACTTTATACAAGCCAAACATATTGCTTATTGTTGGTGGTGGGGCAAAGCTGTGGTTCCCAATCTCTTTATGGTCCAATGTACCCCCAAAGCCTTAAACTCAAGTACCCTTTTCTAGCCTTTAATGACCTTGCTCCTACATCAGTTATGTTCTTTCTTTTTCCTTTTCTTTCAGCCATATCACTAAGGTCCTCCACTGCCCTTCTTTAAAATGCTCCTTATGAGTCCCTAAAATTTGTCCTGGTGAAAGTGCCTTCTGTTTTTATGCTCACAAACTCAGACTTACTGCCTCTAGATTGTAGTATAGAAAGCTCTCTCTAAATTATTTTCAATTGGAAATCAAATACATTTTTTATCTAGATTTGAATTTGAAACAGCCATGATTTTAAAGATGTAATCCATGTTTTTAATGTTATTTTATTATTGTGTGATGTTATTTAGTGTTTTCGTGTTCTATGGAAAGCTCTTTGGCGTGCATATTCCGCCTGGAGTACAAGGACCCTGGTTGTGAGTCACTGGTGTGAAGAAAAAAACGTATAACCAAATCATGAAACTTGTAAATGTTCCACACTCTGTGTTGCCATGATCTTGCGCCTTACACAATCTGTCATTTTGAAATGTCAGTGTTATTTGAATGACTTTATACTTTACCAGTAGGTTCATTGATGCTCAGTTTGGAGCCACTGGAACAGTTTGACTGCAGAAGATTTGAAAACCTACAAATTGGGGAAAGTATTCGGTAAGAAATATAGACAAATTATTTAGAAATAACCATCTTCTTTATCTATCATCAACATTCATTTGGAGTTATTTCTGACCTTTTTATCACTCCTACGAATCCAGCAGTGCCGTTGCTCTCTCCTGTATCTTCCCTCTTGTAGTAATTTTGGTATTCAATAGGTGCTGTGAAAGAAAAATTCAAATTCAGTAAATTCCTAAAATACTAATGCTTCAGCGGCATTGCCCTTTTACACACAGTCCATCACCTGTTTCCAAACGTTTGAACATTCTGTTGTACGTTTAAGCAGCAACTGAGAGATAATATTAAAATGCCCAACATGGAATATATTCAAATCCAAATCAGGGAAGCTGCCAGGGCGTGATCCTACCTGAGGCGGTCGAGCCAGTGCGCTTCATCTCCACAAAGCCGCTGTTGTCTGCGATGATGTCACAATTTTCCAGTGATGTCCTCACATTATCGTAGCACTGAAAGAGCAGTTTGTCTAGAGTTAATTTAAATACACAGTACAGAATATTGGAAGTTTACTGAAAGTCTATATATTTAGACGTGCGGGAACAGCTGCACACACCTCATCATCTTTCACACACTGCGTTGATAACTGGTTACAGTGCACCCACAGAGCGTTCCTCAGTACACTGATGCGGTCTTCTTCCTGCTGCTGAAACACCTGCAAAAGAGTGCCATTGGGAACATAATAAATCATCTAGAAAGAATTGCAGCACAGTACATTTACAACACTACACACTGCTGTATGAATATATTGATGCAACTGGTAACTTCCTGTACAACAAAAGCCTCCAGCAACCTTAGTCACTGTGTGATCTGTCAACTTAAAGGTTCCTGGCTTTCATTTAAATGCGTTTGAATGCTTCATAGTTGAAATGTATTAGTTTATGTATTGTTTTAAATGTATTTCCTTTTGTTTACTGATTTAACGTGTGCATGCGCCACCTACAATTGACCTATTTGAATGATTAAAGAAGCTCTGTTGATGTTATCACACGTAGGAAGAATTTGTTCCCCGGAAAACAATTTTGTAGAATGGTGACTCACTTTCTAGTTTGCTTATAGGAAGTACTCCTGCACATCCTCATTGACAAAACAAGCCTGGGGTATTGCCAATCTTGGTTTAAGTCCGTACATTTTGAAATGCACCAAGCTTTATACATAACGTGATAGGGGAAATTCAGATTGTGGTGCTGTACTAACCTCACATGTGTTGATGTGTGTTGTATTCCACTCCAGTCGAGTCTTGTCAAGCTGTTCAATGTTTGAAATGTACTGTTTCTCTTAAGACAAGAACATATTTAATTGTTAAAAATACAAGAAGAAAAAAAAGGATCACTCCAAAGATATATAGATGATACTTTAATCAACTCTCAGGTTTAGTTTATAAAGTGCACCCAAGGATATCTTTGGAATCCTAAAATAAACGGGAAGTTAATGCAACCACACACTTTATAAATATGTTTCTGGTAAACCATAGCAGTTTCCTTGGACAGCACCAACATATCAACGTTTTGACATGTCAACTTACCAGCCTCTTCTGCAGCTTCCCTGCACTGTTTAGACTTGTTGCTCATCTGAAAAATAAAGACGCATTGTCTTTATATGTGTAAACATGTAGTTTTCCCTATAAAAGGAAACATAGTTAATTGCATAAGGGCTTTGATAGACACTCACAGCTTATAAATTACTATATTTAATAATGGAGTCATAGGCAAAGATAATTTTCCAATCTATCATCGTTTAAAATAACTGTAGATAACAGCAGCTTGAGAAAATATGTATCTGGTTTCCAACAACAGCAAGTCATTTTGGATATTCATCCTTTTTTTATTGTAGAAAATAAAATACATTTACATTCAATGTTGCCATTTCTTAATATTCTTTGTAAATGAGATGCTGCGTAAACTCTCATGGGACCCTGACGATGAAAAGAAAAAGCATACACATACTGTTGTGTTACAATATGATTACTACATTTTCTTATTTCTATTTCCCTGAACATTAAATAATTGACAGACTTGAATAGTTACATTTGTTGAGTAGTTCAAATTGAAGAGCCTGCTCTTGTGTGAAAAAGGCAAACACTGAGAGGTTCCTTTTGTTACTTTAGTCAGATGTTTGACTTTCAATGAAGAATAATGTATTAATGAAGGTAGTCTGTTTAGAGTACCACTGTGTTCACTTTAATTCTTAGTTTAAGAAGTGTATTTGTGTATTACTAGACAACTCACTCAAGTATTAAACATTGTGTGTCAAGTAGTTTTAATTTTGAATTCATCTAGACGGCTTTAAATCTGAGAAATTCTACATTTTGTGGAAAAACAGTCAGATTATAATTCAAAGCAGAGCAGTATTACATATCTTAAAACATGTCTAGGATCAATAAAGATATACTGGTGTGATATATTTTTAAAGATAGGCAACAGCACCAATGCTTTCATAAAGTCAAGTCTATATTTTCATGAACTAAGTAAAAATCGTTTTATGACAGATTTACCCTTTCGATCTGTTTGGGAGTGGCTGTGGGAGTGTTGCCCAACTTCTCAGCTGTAAGCTGTGCCTCATCTGCTTCCTTGCATCGCTGCTCATAGGACCTTTTAGACTAGGGGAAACAGAACAGAAACCATAAAAAACATTAACGCTTGGGTCTTTGAAGCAGTGACAGGAAAAGGAGGGGCTCGGGGGGTAAGTACAGTCAAGAAAATGAGTGCATCAAAAAAGACTTCACTTCTTTCTTCTGAGTAGGGAGAAGTGTAAGCTCATGTGCACATATCACACTGGTTTCTAGCTATTATCTTGCAAAACCATAATCTTCTAAAACAGTACTGAGGTCTTTTTAGAATACCTTGTACATACAGTACAGTATCATCTTAAATCTCTGCAGAACTGTAACCACAAGTCATACAGATCATCACGATAATATAAATTCACCGTACATCTATTGCTTTCTTGTAGATGGAGACTTTTGTCTTCTGGTCCTTCTCCATGATGACTTCATACTAAAAATTGAAAAACATAACGTTACCACCAATACAGCTTTATCATCATCAGAAACCACACGAGAAGCAACTGTTTTTAGACTTCCCCTGCATGCAAAAGAGAAAAAAAGGCATCATGTGGGTACCTTTTTCCGGTGTTCTTTCTGTCTTTCTCTGAACTGCTCCATTCTCTTCACCTCATCCTTTAGTAAACCAGAAAGCTGAATGTGCAAGTTTCCTACATTTTCCATTTCTGAAAAACAAGGAAGATAAAAGTTGAAACACAGACATATATAAGGTGGAAATAAAAAATAAAATCTATTTTGTTCTTACGTGTTTTCATTTCATCAAAAGATTTTCTCAAAGTGCTGTGAAAACAAAATGAGGCAGAATACAAGTGAATACATCTTTTCATGAAATATTTTCTGCACTGTTAAGAAAGGTAGACAGACTTGGACATACTGATGAATATAGCAGTGCTTAAATGCACACACACCTACCAGATCTCATATAAACCCCCAGCTTTGCGTGCAATTGTGACTAGTTCCTTGCCATATTTCTCCTCTGCTGATGCCCTACATGGAAAAAACCATATTAGAGCTGAATCACATTTTAGTGTTGGCTATTTAATGACTCATCAAGTACAATACATCAGAAATGCAAAACACACCTCATTTTTAAGAGCTCCTCCATGTCTTTGCATGTCCGTCGACCATCATTTAGTCTCTGACTTATCGTCTCATACCCAATATTACTGATGAAGTCCACTCCCTGGAACCATAGAAACCATAATGCTCTTTGAGTGATACAGGAACATGGGGAAAACCACACATCATGTAAGGTTTTGGAATAAAGGTTACAAAAACGAATTATGTTAATAAAAACATGTTTTGTGTAAGATGTAAGTTTCTTCATTGCTCATTAAAATAATGAAATCATCAACTCTGGGCAATACTTGATTATTAAAAGCTTCTCAAACGCAAGTTTTACCGTAATTACGTTTGAGATGTTCAACTTTGAGGTATTGTGGTGGTATACCAAAACAAAATTGATTAGTAACACGCTGTTGCTGGGGTTTGAATGAAGAGCCGCACAGAAGGAGAAGTAACCAGAACGACTCCAGTATTCATACAATGCTGAACAAATCTGAAAGTTCTTATTGACATTTATATTGTGGTGCGTTGGGGTCACATTGGATATGAGACTACTGATAGCATAGGAATAATAAAAAAAAAGGGAAGCACAAACTTTACAATGTAAACTGAATACTTTTGTTCCCGACAGGCCAGTACAGTACCTGATGCTCTGCATATTGATATGGTTGGAAATGAATATACTGTGTAAGTTACATGCACGCTTTGAATTCTGGTCTGTTGCATTGTTGCACACGCACTCAGTGCGGTTCTGAAAAGGCAGTCAGAGGCTAATAAGGAAGAATAAGTAGGCAAGAGTAACAGGAAACCTTCAATAATTATAGGCAGGGTTACCACCATAACACTATTTTAAAAGGTTGTTCTGAGAAAGAGCTGTTTGGTTTGTGGGACACACCTGGTTTCTAAATACACACTGTACACAACCCAGAGGTAAAAATAATTGTTTGGCTTGTCAAGAATCCGCACATAAAGAAATAATAATAAATGTTTTAATCAAGTAACAAATCAGTTGCAGTTCAGTTAGTTTCAACATTTGAAAAAAGGTAAAGTAAGCAAAGTAGGTTAAAAGTCACAAGACAGGACAGAGCGCTAACCTAACTGTAGTCAAAGATTGGCCTCAGATATGGTATAATTGTATTGATCCTTAAACACTCTCTAGACTAAATAAAAAACTGTAACAGGGTAGAAGTGGAAAATTACACATATATAACCTTGAAACTCCAGTGAACAAATCAAATACAACAACCCTAACTTCACAGCTTAGAAAGACTCATGGTCAACTTGAGCACTGAAGAGAAACATAAAGAAGTATGGAATAGTATCATCACACTGACTCACCCAGAAGGCATCTTTAAATTGTACTGTCATCTTGGCTTTGGTCAAAAAAAGTCCTGGTTGGAGAATCCACTTAACTCACTTTATAAAGCTTGGCAGTTTAACAGGCTGTTGCTCGATGGAAGTAAAACGGAATATGAGACATGCAGGAAACCAGCATTCAACAGCAACACTTACTAACTTGCTCATTTGATTCAAATGAGGAAGAGTTGCAACACGCTAGCATTAACCGCAACGGGACTGATACTTGTGTCAGTTCACTTTTGGCACCTCTGAAAGGAAAACTAATAATACACAGCAACTATTCAACAAACCAAATGCATTAGTGTAATTGAAACAAACTCAATTGTGTTGTCCTTAAAGAGTGGTTACAATCATATTATCAGTTAAACCTCCCTGCTATTCAGGAATATGTGCATTTATATTGGACAAAACAACAAGAATAGCTTACAATATAATACATTTCAATATAAAGGCCCTGCAACACATTATATGTTGTGAAGCTTCCGATGTTTAGATGTTCCTGAAACATTCTAGAGATGTGCAACTGGCCTCAGTGATGTATTATACTTGTGTTGCAATGTATGTTTTTCCTTTTTATGTGTTATTTTGCCCACACACACTTAATAGAGCAATGTCGATGGGTAAGATCTACAATGGGGTAAATTCCATGACGAATATCAGTACCGGAAATAAACCACGTAACACCTTCATTTGAAAAAAACAAGAACATTACATTTAGTTATAGTTCATCGTGTGAGACATGCAGCTGTCTGCCATAGTCTGTCACTTCACTGTTCATGAATATTTCTTCATTTTTCAAAACTTCTGCTTCCGAGATCATCCCATCTCCATCTTGATCCATTTCCTTGATGAGGTGTAGAGCCTGTCGATGGCATGAAGACAAAATAAACTATATGTAATCCTACCAAGCAGTAGCAACAGGAGCATTACTTGCCCATGTATTTAAATGTTGTTTAAATGTTTAGCAATTATGCAATCAAAATCTGGGAACATATTTGAACATTTGAGTGTTACCTCTTCTCTTGCTGACCCATAGCTGTTAGGCGCAACCCAGCGGAGCTGCTCGTCTCGATTCAACTTGCCATCCTTATCTTGATCATAGAGGTCTTTAAACCGCACTGTTTCTTCTATCTCCCACTGTGAAGGGGAATCCTCTGATGAAAAAAAATTAAGTGTTTATATTGCACTAGGATTATGATTGGGCATAGCAAAGGAAACAACAAATAAATCTCTGTAGTCTTACCATCACCTCGAACATCTCCAATAAATTCACTCAGACTGATAAGTCCATCTTTATCTGTGTCATATTCACTCAACACATCTTCAATGGCAAAATCCTATTGGGAAATAATATACATTATTAAAAATTGTAACAGGAGAAATGAACAGAGCTCTTGTAATAGGTGGGAAAATGCATTATCATATCAGGTGATGCAGGTAAACTCATTTTACAGCCATGTGATCCACTTCAGAGGGATGGGTGAAGGCAAGAAACTCTGTCACATTAAGCCCGGGTGTTCCGTCCACATCAGCAAAGTCAAAGCGTCTCCTCTCCTTCAAGTGGAGCTAATGGGGATATGTGCATATGTTTAAGTATTATGGATAAACCTGATTGTGGTTTAATGTGATTATTAACAGGACAATACAACTACACCTACGTGTCTGAGAGACTCTTGCTCTGGGTCCTGCAGAACATCGCTGTCATCAAAACTGATGAGCTGGCCATGAGCAACAGTGTTGTATTCCTCCCATGTTACAACACCATCTTTGTCAGTGTCAAACTCAGGGAACCGCTCCTTTGCATCTTCTAGAGCATACTTTCTATAGACGTGCTGAATCCATAGCGTTATCTCCTCTGGTGATAAAAACACAAAATACTTAACATGACCTTTCACTTCCTCTTCTTATCTTTGCTTGCTTTTCAAAGGTTCAGAGAAATAAATGTACCTGGATTTAGCACATTGTCAGCATTTGTATCAATCCGCTTCAAAATTTCCATCATCTTTTTCCTCTGTTCCGCTGGGCTAAGATTCAGTATCTCCTCAGTGTCCTAGAAGTGTCCGAAGTATATTGAGAGGAAAGTGAGCAGTTTCTGAATGAGGATTAGAAAATATCTCAAGATTGTAATAAAAATATGTGGCAAATATTTAGAAACCTCTCCCAGCAGGACGTTCATGTCATGTTCAGGGTTGTGCTGCTGGCCAACATAATGATCTTCGTGGAGATGTTTAAGAGAGCTTTGTCCAAATCCAAACTGAAGTACCAGCAGTCCCAGCAATGCAAAGGATGCCATCTATTGAAAGGGTTATCACAATTATAAATATAAAACAAAGGGGTGAATATATTGAAAAAACAACAAGGTGCTATTAATTAGCTTCCAGGTAGTTTTCTTGTTAAAATTATTAATTAACAGGGAAACTAAGAGCTCTGCTATGCTTGCTATAGTGCAATTGTGCGACCTTGCGGTCAGCTGGTGAAAGTTCACACAAACAAAGTAAACTTTGTGTGTGAGCCTCTTGTTCAGATGAAACCTGTTTAATCTAGCAGAAGCAAGTCCGTATTCAGTGAGGAAATAGGGGGGCAATCCGGCCTTAAGGCTGTTGGAACTACTAGTTCTTGTCTACAGTAGCCTAGTTTTAAACATTGTTGTTCATTCTTAATGTGTACGAGAGAGAAGAGATATACAGGGACAACCAGAGACGAAATTAGCCGCGTTAACCAAACATATACACAAGGCACACAAGCCAGTTAAATAGTAACTGCGACAGAGCTGAACAATAATGTTGGAGATGTTGTCATTACCGTGAAAAGTCCAAATAGCTATCATCACACCAGCGTTATTTACAGGGGGATACGGCGACTTCCGGTCACATATTTCAAAATAAAGTTTTATATTCGGTGCATGTCTAACTGTTTTGTAAGCAATTCGTGTAAACAAAGATATTAACTATAAGTGTTGGGTGAGTTTCTCAAAAAAAAATATTTAGCCGCAAACTGAGACATTTATAAAGTTACTAGATGGATGTGTTTTTCCTTAGCATCTTGTTCTCTAAAATATGTTTTCAGTCAGTAATCCACCTCCTCAAAAGTGGTATTGGTAATTGATTTAACACAGGTAAAATATATACTTTGCACATTTAGTAATTAGTATACATATAGATCTGAGTCTGGTCGACCGTCTACGGACCTTGTATGTTAATGAATTTGGCCTCACTTTTCTGTGCACACAGATCAGTTCCTGGCCCAGGTCCTACCTATGCTATTTTCAAAGTGAATGGAGAGGGTAAAAAGTCTGAAAACGTTAAAAACTCCTGCAACACTTGTACGACAAAGAACAACAAAGATCATCATGATTTCAGATTACTTGATATAGGCCACAATCCCTTGTTAGCCCTGGAGTTTACTTTAATTACTACAAAAGTTGACTTTTACTTTTGACATGTGTTGCTGAAGAAGCAAGATAGACATACAGCCAAACTAAGAAAAACAGTCTATTTATATAGGTGAATAAATAGACACCCAAAGAGAAATATAAAAAAACACCATAAATTGCTTAAAATAGGTCAATGTGTTAGGCTTTTATTTTGAAGGCAGCTTTACTTCTCTTCTGGTTTGCTTGACTTATACTGAGGACTCAACCAAACGTCCCGCCCGATCGTATGGTTGCTATGGTAGACAGGAAGAATGCCCGCCCTTGACCTGAACTATACAGTACGTGATTGGCTGGAGTATATGTTGTGACGACGTTCTTGAGATTTAATTGGATGATCCCATCGTCAGTCAAAAATGTCAACTTAAAATACTTCCTGCTTTTATTGTTAGGTTGTCCTCCCCACTGTCATGTTTTTAGCTGACATGTTTTTTCCATCAATCTGACAACAAGAAAACCGTGTCCATAGACTTGTTTTTCCCACTACTGAACGTTGAACATACCGCGGGTCGATGTCCAAAGACAACCGCCATGACGGACGACGGCGTGGCGCTGGGCAGCACCGTCTCGGCCCGAGAAACAGCCAAGGTGGGGACGGGAGGGAGAGGTCTGGAAGCAACAGCTCCGGGTCCTCGCATGGAGGAGGAAAAAGCAAGAATACATCCATTACCGCCCTTAAGGTACGTTATGACATATGAGCTTGTTGCTAACTGATGAAAAACAGGCAATCATTCCGAGTCAATTCTAGCTAGCTAGAGCTAAAGTGTCTGTATACTTGGGTTCAGCAAGCTGGATGATACAGCAGGAGTAGAGCATTTTATGGTGACCTTACCTGCCGCAGGTGCTGTGTCAGTCCAGGTGCACCCACTCGGGCATTTGAATTAAATTATCATAAAGGGCCTTGTGCGACTGCTGAGAAAAGACTTACGCATAAGGGGATTGTTGTGCTTATATGATACGGTCACATCATCAGTAGCTTCTTTCTTAAGACTGTGTAAAGTTTGTACTATTTACAGGAAGTCAAACCATGTGGGCTTCTGTGTGTTGTCCCTAAGCAGCCTATGAATCATCCAGAGCATCACCCTGTGTGGCTAATGCACACACTGCCTCTGAGCCTGCAGCTCTAGCTCTCATCACTGGCAGTGGCAACTCAGGGTGGGGGGTAGAGCGGCAGGCCTGCTGTGTGCACATGACTGCACAGTGTTGTGGCAGAAGGAGAGTGAGAGAAGAGAAAAGGAGAGAGAGAGAGAGAGGGCAGGGAAAGCTGAGGAGAGAATCTGTAAATATAGGAAGCTACATGCAGTGGAGAGCAGAAGAGAGTGGCAGGCAGATAGACAGCAGCAGGCAGAGAGTGAGGCCTAAGAAGTGGCTGCTAACTCAGCAGAGCACTGAGGGCTCAGGCTAGATTACAGACAGTAACGACAATCAAAGTAAACGACAGGACTGGCAGACTGCTGAGCACTTGTCTGTCTCAATCGCTACTGGGAGAGGAGTTGACACAGCTGGGCAAATTGCTATAGCAGTGTGGACTACACAGTGGGAATCTATTTTTGGTCCTGCCGTCAGATGACGATGTCACTTTGTGGCAGTGCTTGTGAGGGGGAACAGGTTGCCTGACGTGGGCTTCAAAAGTATGTCAGGGGTGGATAAGGACGAGGAACCTGCTTACAGGCTGTACTTCTAT